AAAAAAAAAAAAAAAGAAGGAAATTAAATAAAAAAAAAAAGAAGAAACAGAACTATAGATATTATCTCTATTCTAGTGAGAAGAACGTTTGCGAAAAGAATCGTTTATAATATATATATATATATCCATGCTTCTCGACAGCACGACTCGTGAATATGCATCATAGAGATATAGAATCATAGTGGTGATGCACATAGGAGTGCTACGGTGAAACATGATATTTCTACGCGTGGTGTGGTGATCGCTGCGGGCCAGGCGCCGTATAAAAACAGAATCTCTTTCGTTCTTTCGTTCTCCTTGCTTGCAAATGCGTTAGCCAGCGTGAGCTTTTTTTTTTTTTCGTCAAGCGTCGATCGTGACAGCAGCAGGCAAATCATCGTCAGCGTGAGAAACAGTGCGAATCGAAGAGGAAGCGATCCAACGAACAGGTAGAGACACACACACACACACATACATGTACACACAAGAGGACTGCATTCGCATGCGACAGTAAGATTGGAACACTGCAAAAGAAAAAGAGAAAGAAAAGGAAAAAGGAACAGCGATGCATAGACGAAGAAGGCAAAGGTTTTTTTTTTCAGAGGCAATTCTCAGAGCCGGAGTTTCGACTACTCTAATTCTAATTGAATTACAATCTATTGATAAGTTATCTTTTAAGATAAAGAAAGTTGCTTTTCACGATTGAAATCGGTTGGAAATTGTCATTGTCAGGCAATATGTAGAGGCAAGATAACACTACTTGTGATCTTGTCAGTGAAATTACAGGAGCAATGTTAAATACTGAATTAATAAATATTATAATAAATATAATATAATTAATATAATTATAATCAGGAATAATAAATGTAATAGAATTAATTAGTTTCAAATAAACGAATGAAAATACAAATTTAAATAAAGTAAATCACTTCCAGCTCTGAATATTGCTAGAATTGCAAAAAAACGCGACAAATCAAAACTATATATACATATATAAATATATATATAAATATGTAAAAAAATAAATATATATATATGTATAAGGCGTACTAAAAGAACTAAAAAAACAAAAACAACAAGACAGACTCAACCACTCACGAGACATATGTATATATATATATATGCTAAATCGTCACTGCCTGTTAGGGCATCAAATATCAATCAAATATCAATCAAGACTCCATTTTACCTGAGTTCAGAATGGAGCCTTGCGTGGGCCGAAATAGTTGTAGAAGTAGTAGACGTAGTGTTATATAAACAGAGGAACAGAGACATAAATAATTGCGTATTATTCGTTATAATCGCTTGGACTCGTTCTCGTGGTTAATTTTTTTTTTTTTTTGCTACAAAATTCGCTAAATTATCTTAACGAGGCTCTCGTTAATCGATATTCGTTATTAAAGAGGCTCTGTAACAAGTGGTGGAGCTTTTTCTTTTTTTCTTTTTTTTTTTTTTCGCTGCTAAAAACGCTATTAATATAAAGGCGGATCTGAAGTAAGAAGAAAAAAAAAAAAACAGTGGGTCATTTCTCCTTTTACCATGCTCAACTCTCTCGCGTGAGTTAGTGTTAGTTAGCTCACGTGGTTGACGTAACTCGTTATCATCTAGAGAAGCTTCGACAAATTATGTACGTATTGCTAAATTATAGTAGGGGAGGAAAAAATTGTGCGTAAAAGTTGAACATAGCGTGGTGACATAACAGTATGATAATAGAAGCTGTAAATAGAGTAAAAGTACGAAGTTCCAAAGTGTGTGGTGGTAATTCGCTAAAAGGGGGGGGGGGAGGGAGAAATCTGTTTTATCAAACACTGTTAAGGAAGGGTGATCAGTCGGTTAGTCGTGTTTTGTTCTAAGTGACTGATTTGTCAGCCGTTCCCTTCTACCGTGTCTTTTTCTTTTTTAACAAGATTCATTTGATCTCCGCAAGATGTTACGTTGATTAATTATACTGCAAGCAATTTTTCCTGCAATTTCACAATTTTACACGAAATGGAACTTGGAATAAAATTTTCCATCAAATACCTGCTGAAAGTGTCATTAAAATATTGCTGCAAATATCATGTATATCAAGAGAACTAAATATTCAAAAAAAGGAGAAGATACTGTTTGTGAATGAACGTAGAGAGGAGATCGAAGATTTTATTCGAAACAGACACGATAAAAAGGAAATGCTAACGATGGATGACATGAAATCTCAATAATAAAAAGACGAAAAAAAAAAAAAGGAAAAAAAAGGAAACGGTCGAAATGATTATCTTTCGTTATAGTCAGAAACAACATATCCAATACCAAAGGAAGACATAACAGTGGAACTTTAAGAACAATCAAAAAACTAGGGCAAATCGTATAAAGTGACTATATCATGGCAAGGTGGTATATATATATATATAAATATGTATAATATTTAAAAAAAAAAAACACTGCATAAGCCACATTTCATATAGATGAATGAATAGACTTTTCGTCGGGTATATATTATTCAAGAAAGCGAAAAACTCAAGGCAACGAGAAGTGAAATCTTAGAACGTAAGTCGTTATGTATTATTTCTAAGACTAAAGTCATCAAAAACCCAAGTGCCATATTTTATCAAAGCGTTATATATATATATTGAATATTATAATTCAAATATTGTGATTTATAAGCAAACTAAGATGTCGGCATTCAATCAAATGATGAATTCGCATAAGATTGTAGATTCATAAAAGTTTCTAAACATAAAAAGAAAGGAAAAAAGAGAAAGAGAAAACAAAAAAAAATAAGGAGAGAGAGAGAAAATCAAAGTTCAGTTCGTTCAAACTTTCAATGTAAAGTAGCAATCCATTTAGCGTAAAAACTCTGCGCCCAATGTAGCAAGCTCCGTGTCGATCGTTGAGCAGCGTTAACAAAGTGAAACGAAAAACAATAATAATACTCGTTCGCATAAAAGAATCAGCTACGCCTTCGTCGAAACGCATTGTGGCAAAAAAACTGCTTGCTTGCGCAGCGAAAGAACAAATTGAAAGATTGTCTTGCAATAGATCTTGGAATTACCTTTTTGCTGGCGTGCTTATGGCAGTACCGTTGGATATCGACAAAAGTTATTATGAACAACAGTAACGTGTTAATTCCATTGCCATCACGTAATTGGAAAGGAAAATTTAAAAAAGAGGAAATTACAAGTGACATGTGCGATCGGCATTGTACCGAATGTCGATAAAATGGATTACTACAAAATGAACGATGAACTAATGAGAATGAGAAAATGAATTGTGATGAGTGATACTATTTTCTGTGTGAATAATAATAAAAGAAAAAAAAAAAAAAGAATCTTTCGTTTATGGTTATTCTTCTAACTTAGAGTTAGAAAGCCAATCGAAACCTCTTTTGGTCTTCTTCTATGATTTCATAAGTTTACGTTTTTCCTTTCAAACCTTTTTTTCTTTTTCTTTTTTTACTCCTCCAACAATGTTAAACGTTAAACGTAATGTATGTACAATTATTCGATGTACTTTCAGTTGTCGCTTAGGATGTGCAATTAAGAAATCATAGAACGTATGATTCGCCGAATATCTGTCGTTTGTTGGAAATGTTTCACTGGAAAGATAGTACTGTAGCGAAAACGAGAACGGAAAGTTTGCTTACCGATTCCGAACGGTTTAGCTGGCGCAGAAACGAAGTTCTCGTCGTTTCTGGCGTGACTCGCGGACGCACGTCGCGAATGAAGCAGCCCATTCAACTCGGTGTTGAGATCAGTCACGCTTTCGGAACGCGTCACGTTCAAAGAGTCCATCGAGGTGTCGGATCTCATGATCTGCAAGCAGTCGACGACGCGTTATGCTACTGTTCTCTCAGTAGAGCATTGTGTACATTTAACTGCACAGCCCGTCCAAAATCAATCAACCCTGCCCTCTTTTATGCTCTTTGCTATTTAAAAAAATTTTCTTCCTGTCTTGCAGCATGTGTTTGTTTGCATGGCCAAATGATTCTGGACGAACCGTGACAATTTTGAGAAGATGACAGAATAGAAAACAACAACTGAAACAAATTACAAAGCAAATGTGATATTGAAACGAGAAAATTCAGAAATATGAAAAATATTTGAACTTGAAAAGAAGAACAGAGTAAAGGATACCAACTACAGGAGAATACAGAAATTAAGAAAGAAAAACAAATTAAACTAAAGCATACAGTGCGTCCGAGACGGCGGAGAGGCAGTAGTACCTGCGAGAAGTTGGGTACGCTTGCTGTCTTGCGCATAAGTGGTTGACCCTGTGCCTGCAGCAGTTCCTTCACAGCGACGTTCTGTCGTAACCGGTCTAGAGTCAAGATACTTTCCACTGCAGACACGCCGCGTGTATATTTTTCTGTGCAAACATCAGACACGTGAGTTTGTTGTGCACGTTGATCTTGGATATACAAAATTCCCATAAAAGTATTGTTGAAAACGTTGGCTCACCGATGTAAGTTTCACCATCACACAAGCTATTGTCCTCACCGCTGGCAGCTATCTGTGCCAGGCTCTCGCGATCCTCCAGTTCCTCGCTAGCCTTTGGTATATTGGACACGACCTCGTAAGTGACGCCAGTTTGAGTCAAACAGTCGGTACGAACGATTCTCTTGAAGATACGGTCCGTGATACTTTGTCGCTTGTAGATGTTCAGGGCCAGCCGTTTACGCAGCACAAGGTCCATCGGCGCCGGATGCGACAGGCGTACCGTCGTTTTCAAAATTAAAAAAACCCGCTCGTTCGCTGAAACACACCCGCGCTATCGAATCGAGAGTTTTGAACGTTATAAACATTATATACTTTTGGCATCGTGTGTGTCATTTTACCATCAGTGACTTTGTTCAGGTGTATGTTGTCGTGTATACTGGAATCCCAAGCGGCGATAGCGCACACGTCTTTCTCTATGCGACGAATTATGGGTAAATTGTAAAACTTATTGCCATGCTCTTTTGGTAAGATCGAGTTCAACCCGGTTACGGAGACTTCCTCTCCCGACTGGTGGGTTGAAAGATCATCCGCTGTAAACACGTACAGACAATTTTATAAACGAAAGTAGCTCAGGAGTAAATGTAAACTTGAAAAGTATAAAAAGAATTTACCGTTGAGATCAAGAAACAGAACAGGGATGTGTGGCTCCATGCCTAAAGGAGGATTCCAGTCAGCGGGTGCACCAGGAATACCCGATCCCGCTGCAGGGACCAACACAGCGTTTCTCTCCTCCGTCAGGCTGACCCACTGATCCACGAGGCTTTGCTCTCGCTCTATGTCCTGCTCAGTTTTGTCTGAGACAGAAAAATTATTACTGTGTCGAAGTCCAACGATCCATCACAAGATTGAGACAAGACCAAAGTATACCTTGTTTGTTGATAAGTTTCTGTATCTGTTGATCCAAGTACTGCCTCCTTCTCATCAACGCCTCGCTCCATTTCTCCCTCAGTATGCTCAAGTCCTCATCCTGATAACTGTCCAACGGGATTTGGAGACGATTCCTCACAGACACGCTGCCAACCGCTATGTTCAATATCGACTGGCAAATAATGGGCAATGTCCCTGAATTTTGTACTGGTTTCACTCGAACTTGTATCCGTCGTTGTTGCCCTTGACGTAATTGATAAATACCGCCTGAACAAGAAAGAAATACTCGTAGGTATTTTATTATATAGCATACAATTGTTTAGTTATTATTATAGAAGTAAATGTGTAACGTGCCTGTCCACGTATCTTGTTTTATAACCACATCCACTGGCGAATATTCTCCTTGTTCGTTCAGTTCCTGAATCTCTACCCAGAGTTCGATTTTCCGCGTTAACTCTGACCATCGATCAGCCAGAGATCTGGCCTTGGCAAGTTGTTGCTCGACTTCCCAGCCTGGCTTGCTTCGGGAAAATCCGGCACTTCGGTGTCCCCAAACTTCTATGCTTAAGGCCCCTTCTACGAATGAAAATGTGTGTTTAGTGACACAGTATTTGGAAGAAGTTTTGATAGTTTTTCAACTCCAATCCAATAGTATATAATATATTGATTACGGCAAACTACTCACTGAAATCTTTGTTACTCACCACTACAGTGTTCGATAAACTCCTCCGTTATGGGCACGGTAAAATCTTTCGTGTGATTGAACTTGAACACCAGAGAGTCCCTCTGCCCTGTCTGGCAGTTCGAGTTCAACTGCTCGGAATTGTCAATGGCCGGGACCACTATGGGGTCCGGGTGCCCGCAGAACATGTACTGACAAAATACAAAATGGCTGAGTGACAGTGGCAAACCAGTTGCTTGTTTGATGGTCACGCGGCACGTGATAAAGCTCGAGCCGGAGTAATCCTCCGGCTCTGACGAGGTCGAGTCAGCCGACGACTCCGACGCCGCCTCGCAGATACGATCCTGAGGGAAGTGGCCAGATATGCGGCTAATCTCGACCTGCAGTCGTCCAGCGACTTCACCTTGTTGACTGATAATCGGCGTGTGGTAATCTAACCGAACGTCGTGAAACAGAACCTCTAAGAAAACATTCGCCACACCGATGAGATTGTGATTCTCCTGTGACTCGTAGAACGGGTCTTGGGTCTTCCCGGGCACTTCGTCCTGTAATTTATTATACACATCAATCTCGGATATCAGACAATGTTAGACAACTGGACAACGAGCGTACCTTAATGGCAGGCAATCGTTGACAATTATTGGGATCCTTTCTGTCCTCGTACATATCCCGCATGTCGACTAGCTTGTTTTCTAACTTCTCCATGGACCATACTTGGCTGCCCATATTCGTCCTCTTCACCAGAATCGCTGGCTCGCTGACGAAGGCGCCCCGCTGGAAAAATACACTCTGCATGTCGAAGAGTGTACATGCGTGAAAACGGAACGAGCACAAATGAATAAACGCAACGAAAAATATGAATGAAAAAGTAAAACAAGAACAAAATGAATGAAATCAATAAATCAAAGAAAAATATGAATGAAAGAGTAAAACAAGAACAAGAACGTATGATAATTGTAAAATTATAGAGAAGACAGAACCAAGATAGAAGACCAACGAATGACAAAAATATACAAAAACAGTAGAATTATACCACAAATTAAGAGAAGACAAAATTAAGATGAAAAATCAACGAAACGTGGAAAGCTTCCAAAGAAGAGACAACTTGTTTAAATCTCAGATTCTCTGGAAGTTACAAGCGGCTATTTTAAAGGGCCAGAACTTTGACTGCATCTCACATAATGCAATTACTTCAGAGTGTGTAAGCTTGTAACAAGAGTGTCAGCATATATTACCTTCCTGTTTGGACTCAAATTGTTTGGTGGAATTTGCAAAGTGACGCTAAATTTCGTTTGCTTCCCCATCTCTTCCGCCAAGAAGTTCGCCTCCTGCACCAACGCGTTCGCCTTCAAGATGTCCGCTTTCAACTGACCCAAACTCCTCTTGAACATCTCGTCCCTTTCTTGGGCCCACTTCTCCACTCGCATCTGCGTGGTGGGCGTGCAAGCAGGAAGCTTACTGCTCTGACTACCTCGCAGAGGGTCGTACGGTACGTAAGGGGAATAGGGCGTCGACGGGGACAATATATTGCGAAGTTGCTGGAACTGCCGCTCGTACTCTTGTCTTTGTTTCTCTAACGCGACCTAAAAAAATAGAGGTACGACCTGATAAGATAAAAGTAGACAAAGATTTATGGTAATTTTATTTAAAAGTACATCACATTCAGTCTTATCGTATACAAGGTGTCCCATTTTAATCTACAAATGCTATTCGACATTTAAAGAACGTCTCAAATGCATTTTAAAAAAAAAAAAAAAAAAAAAAAAAGAAATGCGTTTAAAAATTAAAATGGGACATCCAGTGTATGTGAATGATTCTGGATAAGAGGTACAGTGGTCCCTTAATTATAACAACTTGCGGCAAACGTCAAGATGTGCCACACAGTCAAATTGACCTCCTCAGTTGAAGAAAATTTCAATACCTGTTTATCTTCCTCGTGCTGCTTTTCGAGTCTGGCAATGGCTCTCTGAATAGGGTCGTTCGACAGCTCGTTAAGCATCAGTTCTTCTCGCGCGAAGTTGTAATCGATATTCTGCGCTGGCGTCTGAGGCTCGCTGTTGATCGCTGTAAACGTAGAGACACACGCATACATATATATATACATACATACAGTCTCCGCAGGACGTCGTCGTGCATCGATCACAAAGAATTCAATCAACCTGATATCCATTGAGAGCCTTGATGTTACCTGTTGCGCTTCTGGGGCAATTCACCCGAAAGAAATGATGATTTCCCCAGACAATCCTGTCGCCGTGCAACAACGGCGTTTTCTCCACCACCTGAGTGCCATTCACGAAACACCTAGCACCGTTTAATGGCGTCATGTAGAGGCCGGTCTCCTCTATCGTGATGACACAGTGCTCAGGTAGAATACCAAGCCCGTGCAGTTGAATGTCTTGCTCCGTCTTTGCCGAACGTCCGCCGACCAAGGTCCTCTCCTAGATTTTTTTTTTTTTTAACAATGAGCATAACGTTTTATTGCCAGATTCTAATTATAATGAAATTTTAATCATCTAATATTGAAATATTTTAGATTAAGTTAATCTAATATTAAAATTCTGATATTTGTGATATAACAGTACTTTAATAATAATAAAATTCTGCAAATTAAATAGAAACGATAGACACTTTTTAATACTCAAAATTTTAAGAAGATACCTTCAGGTAATAAACTAGCAGCTCATTCAAGCTTGGATCGTCGTTCAAATTAACGAGGTAATACTTGTTCTTCTCCACTTGGATACCGGAAGCCTGAACGCTTATCCCCATTTTCTCCAAAGCTTGCTGCCTCTCGTGTTGCAGTTTCTCCGTTTCCACTAATTTCTCCTCCCACGTCTGCGACATCACTTTCATTAACCGTTCCGATTCCGACAGCTTCTCCGTTATGTCTGTGCGTTGCTGACCCACTATCGATCCCTGTCCCTAGAGTCCGGCGGAGGAATGAGAAGAGAATAGCTTTAATGCAGTCCAAGAACCAATTATAACAAACCATGAATGAATTTGCTTGCTAAATACTGAACGAATTCGAATGGAATTTGGAAGTACGAAGAGTAGTTTGAGAAACTGGCACCAAAATCAATTATTGAAACAGTTGGAAGCTTCGAACGACGAACATGAGGTACCCAGGAAAGCCCTTGCCATTTTTTTCACTGTGAAAACACATGAATTTATTCGTCGAAATATGAACTTTCGTGTTTCATAACTTTCATCCAATGGTTCAATAACTTATAAATGTTGTTCTTCTAGTTTCATCGTGGAAGAATCTTGACACTTCTTCTTTCATTATTGTCCCAGACTCGGAAACAGGTGAAAATCTATTTGTGAAAAGGGACATGATCTCCCATTAAGAGTCATTTTTACCACACAAAGTCAACAAAGAGAATCTGAAAAAGTGAAGAGTTCTCTTTCCAACTTTCTCACGATAAATGTGCTAGCAGTAATGGTTTTTCTCACTTCTAAACGTTCATTGTTAATCAGAAAAAATCTCTAGAATTGTGATCGGCAAGAACTTCTCTAAGTACCTGATGATTTTTCACTGTCTGTCTTTCTTACAATTTTGGCAAAATGTCAAATGTCTGATGAGAAGGCTAACGTCGCTAATTGCGAGATTTGATTCGTTTCGAGTCTTTAGGGGACGCAGTGTTTGTCTGTCGGTCCAATATGCGATTAATATGCCAACGTTAACGAGTCCTAATCATCTTACAGTTGCGTGTAATAGCATCTCCTTCAACGTTTCCACTTCCTGCCTCAATTCCCGAATGATCCTCGCGTTTGGATCCTCGTTGACTACCGCGTGATTAACGATTCTCTTGGCTCTGTCCGCGTATCGCAGAGTTGAAAGCGTCTCCTCGTAATTATCCGCCGCGGGAGATATCGTTGCTACCATTACGGTCTTGCTGTTCCCGCCGAGGTTGTCCTGCAATTAAAATACATAATTATATAAACGGAACAATTACTTTTTAAATTCTATATTCTTTTCTTATTTTTATTTCTATTATTTCTTCTTATTTTATTTATTTAAATAATTCTAGAATTTTCTTATTTTTATTTCTCAAATCTTTAAATTTTAAATTTTATATTTCCCAGGATTTTTGACAAATGTAGGAAATAAAGATTTGAATTTACAGTTTAGTAAATATTTTTTTTTATTTCTTCTTAATTGTGCACTTAAGGAATTATGTAAAGCGTACTTTTTAATAAAGTCAGAAAAATCAATTTTCCAAAAATTGCATATTCTGTTCTCGATACTATGGAATATTTTAGAAAATAATTAACTTAGAACGTTTTTTTTTTTCATTGGCACCTAAAGATAACATTTCATTTTTCACTTTTTTTTTTAACGAAATGTAATTTCATTTCTAAAACAATTCTTTAATTTTCCTCATTTTGCAGACACTGCAAAAGTACAATACAAATAGTTAAAATCTGTTAAATATATTACCTTCAACAGCCACGTCAAAACGGAGTCCCTGTACGGCACGAATTTGTCCTTATTCTTATTACTTCCGGAATTCTGATCCGCTAGCTTCGAAATGACTAGACCCAACGTCGTTAGGGATCTGCAAACATTTGTCTCGTTTTTATCTCGTGATCCATCACTTAACAGAGTTATTAAAAAAAAAAAAAAAAGGAAGATCAGATCAATTAAACTGATTACTTTTTCACATATGTTGATACGTGGCAATTCTAACTTGTTGCACAGGGCGCTTTTAACTTTATTAAAAGAGAAAGAAAACAAAGGACTTCTCATACATTTTACAACTACGTCAATTTAATTATCCGGCTGTGTAGTAAATTCGCTCGCCACTCGACGTTACATTTTTCTGGGTGTTAGAAACGTGTATTATAGAAAAATTGTTGATTTATGTCACCAGCAGTGGGTAATATCTTAAGATACTTTTTTATTTTTAACTCTGCAAACTAGGTCGTTAATGTCCTCAGTGAAATTTCACTCGCGAGTTTCTTGTAGGAAATTCTTATTCTTTTTTTAAAGATGAACTTTCTAAACATTTGAGTTATGATATACATTTGATTGTATCTTTGTGTATATATTTTTTTCACTCGCGATTTTCTTGAAGCAAATTTTTAGTCTTCTTTTAAACAAGAACCTTCTAAACATTTAATTTATATAATATATATACACATTTGATTACTATATATATATATATTTGATTGATTACAATTGGTTTTATAATACAACAGAGGCTTGGTTAAAGTAATTCAAAATTTTCCATTTTCTTGCAAGCTTAGAGGAATAAAGAAATTAATCTTTTCTTCTTCAGTATTCATTTATTTTGTAGACGATGAAATTTTTCAACTGCAAGTGTGTATTCATGGTCAAATAAACAAATTTGTGTCCTCTGCCCTGATAAACTTATAATAGTAAAAAAAAAGATCAGTGCATATTCAATTGTTCAAAGATCTTAGACTACACTTTTTGCAATTAATACTTTACTTGTTAATATTGCTTCCTTCTTTAAGCCTATCGCCCACTGCCCCAGTTTTCACAGCCCTTTCGCTCCCTGCCAAATCCACCAGGCTCATCCGCGAGACCTTCTCGCCGCTGACGCCGCTCTTCGAGTCCGTCAACGTCTGCGTCAGGATGACGGAGAACACCGCGTGCGACCGTGAACTCTCCGAGTTCATGTTCGTCGCCGCCACCGTCCTCGACTTGTTCCCCTCCGCCATCAGATTGTCGATGTCCTGGAAACGAAAGAACGTTACCAACTCTCCTCACAAAGCTCCGGTTCGACGATATCATAGATCACTCGAGCGACTCGGTGAAAGGTAGGTAATTTCCACACTACGGTGTATGGAAAAGTTGAGAAAACTTTTGGGTAATTCTGTTGGGAAATTCAGCTGATTCCAGGGAGGAACGTTGAGCTTAATGGCCGTAATGGAATGGTAGCTGGCGAGCGTGATGCAATGAGAGATTCTTGGATGGTTCCTGGGGAATTGGAAGATTTACTCGACGTTTGCTTGTTACTGCACGTTTGCTCCTTTTCTTTTACAATAAATCCTGAATGTCTATTGGGGAACGCGGACTGATCTTTTTCTTCTTTCCTTTCATCTTGTTTCGCCCTTTCTGGCTTTTTGACCTTTCAACTGGGGAGGTATACTCAAAAGCGTATTCCGCGACGAACGAATTACGACGAGTTAACTCGTCGTACCCGCGGTGAATACGAAGCGGTACAATTTGCATTTCACGCGAAACGAAAGTTATCGTGATACGCCAGCATGATACAACGAAACAAGATTTAAATTTATATGCGTTTTTTTATTAAAATTAATTATCCAAAACTACTCGTTTGCCCTCAGATATGCTACATTTTGATTAAAAAAAAAAACTGTTAAATTTAATCTTTTATTTATATTTAATTTTTATCAAATATATTACAATTAATATAATGTATAATTTAAGTAATTACTATCATGGAATTGTCAGATTAAATAACAAATTTCTCTAATAAGAAGATTAAAAGTGTTATTACATATCATTCCATTTCAATGATTATAATATATGTATATATATTTATGTATATATAATATATTATAACTGTATTGTAAAATAAATATAAATATATTGTATGTATGTATTATATTACAGGTATATATTGTAATATATTTAACATAAATTAAATGTAAATAAAATACCATAATTATACTAATATAGTAGAGCATCTAATGCCAGTTTATTATTCGATCCATCTTCTTGCCCGTTGAAGAAGTATTTTCCAATGACGAGTCAACTCGTCATTCCCAGTTTAAAAAAAGTGAAGAGCACAGAGAATCGATTCAATTTATACCAAGGAAAAAAAGGATGATATTAAAACAAAATGATCCCCTTCCTCCAAAAAAAAAAGCTGGTATCATCGTGTTCACAGTCGATGAAACAAATTGAAACTTATCACGCGTTACTGGTATGCACGAAACGTGTTTGTTGCATAAAAGAGGTAACCGCTACCTTCGCATACACATTAAACGACCTGATTTTACTTTCTAAAAGTAAGGATCGTATGTCATTATATACATTCATTCGTGTAATGTTCGTGCTCGTTGCTCGAGCGATCAGTAAAAGTTATTCGATCGGTTCAATCAACTTGGAAAACAGACAGACGTGTACATGTGTAATCGTGACTTCGTCCTTTGTCGGATTAATAACGAGACAACTACGTTGTTAAAAGATTGTCAATTACTGACAAAATATTCTTATAATCTAATGCATACATTCTATAATACTTGAAAATAAAAGTCATACTCTTGTTTTTTTTTATATACGAGCAAACAGGATTAGCAATATTACCCGGTGTACCGGTACTTGAGAATTTAGAAATAGATGGTAACTTTTGAAAATTTAAACAGACTGTTTCCTCTTCTGGAAAATTTGGAGGGCTCGTCGACCGAGGAAGAGACGTTTAATTAAATACACGAAATTCCCCGTTCTCCGATTTAATTGCAGATGATGGTGCATTATTACGGAAATGAAATCGTCGATGCACCCAGCAATGACAGATATTGATCATAACAGCTTCAGTTTTGGAGCTGAGCCAGCTAGCTTAGGCGATGAAACAAGGCGACGATGATGAAAACGACGTGATTTGTTAAACTGGACAAATAACAAATGGTATTAGCACAAAAGAAAAAGAAAAGGAAGAAAATCATAGACACTAAAAAAAAAAAAAAAATTAAAATAAAAGATCAAAAGTATGTTTACCTGAAAGGACGTGACAGCGAGCTGACTAAGTCCGTCGACGTACGGTCCCAGGACATTGTGCTCCCTAACCTTCAGCGACTGTTTGTTCGGCTTCGGGTCGAGTAGATCGTGCACCTTCTCGTTGTAGATCTCCATGTACGAGACTTCGACTTTGTAGGTGAGCTCCGAGCTCTGTTGCTTCGCGATCATGTCGAAGAGGTTGTCGCACAGCCGTGGTATAATACCTTTGTTCTCGCCGCTTCCCATCATCGTGTACGATTTCCCGGACCCTTTGAACAAAAAGAAATTCGTTCTCCAATTAACTTCGACTCGCGACTGTTAATCGCTTTTATTTTCCTAGATTCTTTTTAATGCGTCTTAACCTTGACTATCATCTTCAAAGTCTCTTAAGGATCACTCTTGCGCGATGACAACTTCAGTTTGACTCTTGATCGCGATATATATCGATAACGATCGATTTGACTGTTAACCGTCGGCGGCCATGTTTGTTTGTTTCGTCGCGCGCGTAACAGTCCTGTTCGACTGAAATCTTTTTGCAAAAGGAATCGCATAACGAGGTACGAATGCAAACTTTATTAATATTATTACTTGTAATTTTGGTTACGTATAGAAAATCGATCGACGATTATTGTTACGTTCGTACATTTCAGGAAAATAGTATTCAATAAGAGTGGTTCGTAACATAACCTGTCTATGCATCTTCGTGTTTCTCGAGATCACTGTCACGGTAAATACTCTTGATTAATGTTATATATTTATTTCATACATTGTTATTGTTGAATATACAATTGTTTATTATTATTGTCAAACAATCGTTTATTTATTCAGCGAAGCATATATGCATATAGATTTGAGTTAGGAAATAATAATTTAACGTGGTTTAACCTCTTGCGCTGGAATGACGTGCGAATTTTTTGTCCCAAATTGCAACATTTTCTCAGTTTTAAGTATATTTAAGTATAACCCAAAATAAATAATAAATTTATTACTTCTCGATAATTTCTATCCAGTGATATCACACCGACGAGTTCAAAAAGCGACGAATTATTGTATACGGTTCGGTCACTCGTTATGGTCCGCGAACCAGTTACCAGCGCAATAGGTTGTGTGGCTTGGGATCAGAAAAATTGAAGATTTGTTATTGGTTTATTGATCAGTGCGTATATATGTGTGTGACTGAAACTCTTAATCCTTTCGCTACGATGATCCTCACCACATGTGTATGTACACACTGATCGAATCATTTTTCGAGTGCATTGATCTATTTTGAAATAGAACTTTTTTCTAATTTCCTGGTAACATTTTGACGAGGATCTAGAACGTTAGAATCTTGGTGATACAGTTATTTCACTTTTGTTTTGGCAAGATAAGAAACAATCCCTAATTTTTAAGGAGAATTTACGACCTCCTCCCTCCTGGGGAGACTCGTTCAGCCAACGAGTTATGGAAATTAAGTAATTAAGCGAGGGTCGACATCTAGACCTTATCACGCTGGAGTCAAGGATAAATTATAAATATTGTAATATTACAAATATTAGAAATTTATAATTAATACAAATATAAATATAATAAATATTATAAATAGCACAAATATTATAATATTATAAATGTTGTAAAGTGAAAGATAAATGAAAAAATATTATAAATATTGTAAAAATTCGTTAAGTTCTATTTTTTTTTTTTTTAGGAAGATAGTGAGTTTAACTATCGATTAGAAATAAAACACACTTCACCGTTTCAACTTCTAAATCTCCTCGACTGCACGGCTCTTAAAGAAACCCCTAAGACTCGGACGATCAACAGCGAATCATCCTTCGACAGATTTAACCTCCAATTGACACCATTGTTTCCTCGCGCCTTAACAGGTTTACCCTCACGTCGCTGTCTACAACTTCTTGTCTCGCAAGACAAGTGCAAGTAGTTATTCCATCCAAGCTGTAAGCGCTTGAGAGGATGACCGGAAGGGAGATTAAATCCGATTGATCGATGACAAACGATGGCAACTAAGTGAAAGAAGACGCAAGAGTCTTTAGAAGTGCATAATCTTGTTCCTTCTTATTCTTTTTAACGCCCTTCGTCCCGACGCGAGAGCGTGGGATCGGGCGTTTCTGGAGAGAAAGGGGATCGCTCGTGGGTCAATGTCTCTGCCATCACCAATTCGGTACAAATAACGCGAATGTTTTTCAGTCCACGCGAAATGTTAAAGAATATATTCTCGCGATTTAAGGGAGAGCGTTAACTACTTTTTGTAGCGTGATAGTGTGTTGTTAAACGTCTTACCGGTTTGGCCGTAGGCGAAAATGCAAGCGTTGTAGCCTTGGAACGCATTGTCCAAAATGTCCCGGCCCAGGGCGTCGAACACCACGTCCTGGCTGGCGAAATTCTCGCCGGCCGGGTCCAGGGAATAGAAACAGTGATCGAACGCGAACGTCTTTGGTTTGCTCCTGCAACAGCCAAACATGCCAAAAACTCATTACATTGCCATATGTTTCAAGCGTTGCCGAGGTTTTTTTCTGAGAATTAAAGAGCTAAAATATAACGCCTCCAATATACTATGGACAATGTTAATATTTTGTTTTAATTATATTACATTTAATATTAATATTAATTTAATATTCAATATTAATATTTTATTAAACTGCTATGGACAATATTAATGTTTTACTTTAATTATATTACATTTAATAGTAATATTTTATTAAATTACTATGGACAATTTATTCATAAATACGAAAAAAAGAAAAAAAAAATATTCCCAAAAGCTCTCTGTGTGAGAAAATCGACGATAAGTTTTTTTTTAACCAACTAAACATTATAATATAATGAAATTTGAGAAAATAAGAATATAAACTTTGTACATGAAGGTTACAGTCTTTGAGGCCGGGATATCTGGCTTAGCAATTATTATGCCGACTTTTAGGGGCAAGAATAATTTGTATTTGCCCCGAGGTTCTTGATAAGTTTAATCCTTTGGGGGTAAACGATGTTACAAGTAATAATTACGTATATTCCTCGATGTTTGTCATCAACTCACGAGCTCCTGGGATTTCGTCGGTGAAAAAAGCTACTTTCGTATTGATTTGCAACCCTTTCGATGCCAGAAATGTTCTCGATATTAAATCCAGACTTTTCCCGCTTCCCTTGGGAGTGAAACCGTCAGTGAGACGAGAAATTATTTCGTCAAAGATATTCGAACAATCACGAACGACGTGCTTTTTCTTTTTAGATATTTCAATTCATATCCCGCTTTACGTTCTGTAGGAACTTTTAATTTTCATAATATCAGCATTATACAATATTTATTTGGTGCAGCTATTTTTAAACAAAACAATTTATAAAATAATTTCACGTTAAATTTGTGAAATATAATCGTTAACGTAATCGTACTTACATCGTAACGATTTTCTTCAAGTGAGTGAATTTTTTAATACTTCCTTTCAGAGTGACAGCACACTTATGTTTATGTGACAGAATATTTTTCTAATTTCCCTAGATACACGAACTCTCTACATTACCTTCTGGGATTTTTTACTTTTTTTTTTTTTTTATCACTAGTGGTAATTACAGGTTTCTGTTTTCTGAAATTTCATAATCTCCATAAATGATTGTCAAATCCGGGCGTTTTTCTTGTAATTGTTTGAATATTAAATAAATGTTGCAAAAAAAAGAAAATAAATAGGATCTCGGTCGATACTCTCGCAATATCGAAGGGATTCGAAGACAGAGCGCGCGAAACGAGGGAAATTACGTCGCTTCGAGGTTAGGATCCTTCGTTGTGTATGACGGAATAACTAGGAGGGTGGGGAGGGGGCGAAGGAATTTCCTATATCGGGCGGGAAATACGAAGGAAGATTCGTTCCATTGGAAAACAAAAACGATTTCCTCTCGTCCTGGATATATCACAGCCACGCGAAACGTCGAAAAAGGCACCGTGAGTTGAAAACGAGCGGCGTCCCACGCATCGACCCGCTATTGATTTTCTGTCGCGTTTCCACCGCGGTTAATCAGTTTCCAGCGGGTTCTCCTGATCCCGAGAGTAACTGGAACGCCACGACGAGTCGTTACAGAGACCCGTGACTTCCAATGAAGTTCGTCGCGAAGAAATTTTTCCTGACTCGTCAGACGATTTTTCTCTTTCTCTCTTTTTAACACCAAGAACCACTAATTTACGATTTTTGTTAGACAATTGTTTAAATTTATTAGACGTGAATTATAAATTATATAAATTATAAATTATATATTATATAAATTATAAATTATAAAATATAAATTATAAATTATATTAGCCTAATTAAATTTATAATTTATAAATTATATAAATTATATTAGCCTAATTTATAGACGTAAAATTTATAGACGTAAAATAGTATATTTTTAAAGATTTAAATAATGTAAATAAAAGTTAAAAATTAAAATATAAATAAAAAGTTTCTATTACAAAGTTTCTTTAATTTTTTGGTTTTAATGTCTCTAATGAAAATTTTACGCTTTAATCCCCCCACTCTTTCGGGTCTGTATCCCCTCCACCGCGTCATTCCCCCCACTTTAGCTCTGGCTTAGCTGAGTTAACACCAGAACTACACTCCAAAGTGGTCAAAATGACCGATTTATAATCTTAGAAAATTCTAACGAAAAAATTCTAACCTCAGTGTTCAAGGTTCAATGGAACAGTGAAAATAATTCGATAAAATTCTAACCAAAGTTCAATTAAAAAATGGTTTCAGGAACTTGTTGGAGAAAGAAAATTTCAATCTTCAAATTCACCGAGAAAAATTTTTCAACATTTTTACGTGTGTTTAAATTTTGTAATTTTCGAAAAAAATATCTTCGTTACATGGTATAAAATCATCTTAAAAAAAAAAAAAAATAGTCGAAAATAGGGGCTTCACGCTTTGAAAATTTTTTTTCTTTTGCAAAATTGTATCAACTGAAATTGTCGATAATTTTCTGTAAACTGTAATTGATATTTGGCTACGCTCTTCACTGTCTACGCGTACAAATGTACAAATTATGCAAACAATGCTCGAAATTCCCAAGTATTTGCCAAGGTACACCGTGTACCGATTACGCTGGCTTTCGGGCGGCATATTAACGTTTAAACCTGAAGTTAGACGATCGTTATTGTTATTGCATTTGCAACAAAGCTCGTGCCGGCAATCGCGATATTTCCATTGTTCCTGTTGTTCCACTTTCAGTACTACGCCGCAGCTTGCAGCAGCAAATATTAATAATGCAAGGACGTCAAATTTACGGCAACGAGAGAACCAACAAGATATTTCTTTATTTACGAGTTTATGATCCGATGTGAATAAGCAATGTTTATAAAACGTAGAAAAACGTGAAATCCTCGGAGATTTCACTTACCGGAAGCGGGCTTGAATCTTATTAACATTACTTGGCTTAACAAACTTACATCAGTGATGAACGAAAATATAAAATTCTTTAGTATAAAATTAGTATAAAAATTCTTTAGTGCAAAAATTTAGTATAAAAATTCTTTAGTATAAAAATTTAATATAAAAATTCTTTAGTACAAAATTAGTATAAAAATTTAGTGTAAAAATTCTTTAGTATAAAAGTTTAGTACAAAAATTCTTTAGTGTAAAAGTTTAATATAAAAATTCTTTAGTATAAAAATTTAGTATAAAAATTCTTTAGTACAAAATTAGTATAAAAATTTAGTGTAAAAATTCTTTAGTATAAAAGTTTAGTACAAAAATTCTTTAGTGTAAAAGTTTAATATAAAAATTCTTTAGTATAAAAATTTAGTATAAAAATTCTTTAGTACAAAATTAGTATAAAAATTTAGTGTAAAAATTCTTTAGTATAAAAGTTTAGTACAAAAATTCTTTAGTGTAAAAGTTTAGTATAAAAATTCTTTAGTATAAAAATTTTTTAGTATAAAAATTTAGTATAAAAATTATTTAGTACAAAATTAGTATAAAAATTTAGTATAAAAATTTTGAAAAATTCCACAGCCAAAAATTCACAGCTTCTTGGAAATTTTTGCGAAATTTTACTCAGTTTAACAAATTTATATACCAGTGAGGAAGAAAAGATACAAGATTCTTAATGCAAAATTTCCAAAACCGACGAAACGATCTCTCTGAAAACTTGGCGAGACGGATAAACGGCGAGAGGCGATCGTCGACGCGATTTCCACTCTGGAAACGATCACAATCGATCCGGAAAGTTCGTGAACTCGGGAGAAGAGAGAAGAGGGATACGATAAAAGTTTTCTCGATCGGCCTGTAAACGTGCCAGGAGACGAGTGTCTGCTCTCGACTCTCGCCAACAACTAGAATCCATCGCCGATCCCATCGCCAGCTGCAGCCATTTAACGACCCCTTCGATCCAAACAACAATGGTGCTGCAGCACCACCGACGCACGACTGATTTGCATAATCGCGCGCGGGATACACGGCCGTTTCCGTGTCCGGCGTTCTATTAAAATCCGCCGCGATGGAAAACTTTCCGAATAATAACTAACAATAAAATGTTTCTCTGCGCCGCAGAGACGCCGTTCAATGCGGAGATTTGCTTCCCAGAAATTTACGCGGATTTATTTATTTTTTTCTTAGATCGTTCTTAAGGGTGTTATATATATATAATTATTCGAGAATGCAATGGAAAGAAGAATTTCCCTGACAAATTCCCTGAAGACAACCCTTGGGAGCAAGAGTCTTCCGAGAAGTCTTTTGAAAACAACCTCTGAGAAACGAGAATCTTCTGAAAACCTCCCCCGAGAATAAAAATTCTCTAGAAACTTCCCCTGAATATTTCACCTGAGAACAAAGATTCCCTAAAGAGTCCTCTGAAATGTCTCCAGAGAACAAAAATCCCCGGGAAACTTTCGCAGAAAACAATCCTTCAGAACAAAAGTCCTGAAAATTTGTCCTGAAAACAACCCCCGAGAATAAAAATTCTCTAGAAACTTCCCCTGAATATTTCACCAGAAAACAAAAATTCCCTAAAGAGTCCTCTGAAATGTCTCCAGAGAACAAAAATCCCCGGGAAACTTTCGCAGAAAACAATCCCTGAGAATAAACGTCCTCTAGAAATTTCCCCTGAATATTTCACCACAAAACAAAAATTCCCTAAAGAATCTTCTGAAATGTCTCCAGAGAACAAAAATCCCCGGGAAACTTTCGCAGAAAACAATCTTTCAGAACAAAAGTCCTGAAAACAACCCTCGAGAATAAAAACTCTCTAGAAACTTCCCCTGAATATTTCACCTGAGAACAAAAATTCCCTAAAGAGTCCTCTGAAATGTCTCCAGAGAACAAAAATCCCCGGGAAACTTTCGCAGAAAACAATCCCTGAGAATAAACGTCCTCTAGAAATTTCCCCTGAATATTTCACCAGAAAACAAAAATTCCCTAAAGAGTTCTCTGAAATGTCTCCAGAGAACAAAAATCCCCGGGAAACTTTCGCAGAAAACAGT